AGGGTGTGCCTTTGATAGAAGAGAGAACGGCGCATGACGGTGGCTCTGAATTGATATGCGTAGCGTAGCTAAGAAGAATGATTTTTTTGGGCTGAGGCTTAACTTTAAACGCAGCATCACTGCAGGCAAATCCATGCCGCTGCGCTTCGCCTGCGCAGTGCGAATATGGCACTCCGTCACGCTGATCCTTTGCTCAACCTTCCAAGCAATGTAGCCATTAACTTTGGGTCAATTACATGGATGCTCTATGGGTATTCGCGCATCCAGAAACAGCGTGAAGTGAAGTGTGTCCCAGACCGACTTGATTGCCGCAAAAACAGACCGCATGGAGGCAGGGAGACTTTGATCCCGCCTTCCTTGATTGATCCAGCAGTGGCTGGCTGACGTGGTCCGAGCTTCTCTGACCATCCCAACGAAAGCACCAGCCGTCGAGTGGTGCACCCCATTGCAGCCTCATATCAGCATGCATCACAGACCACAGACCACAGACCACAGACCACAGACACCCAGTCGATTGATATGGTATCGGCAACGAGGACGACGGCGTTGAGTTCAAATGGGAACCATCACGACGACGTGATATGTCTAGGATCGATGCCTAGTACGTGGAGCGTATCAGCATCTATCACAATCGCATTGCCAAGAGCCGCGGCATCCATAAGGACGAGGACATCACCACTGGGCCAAGACTCTAACGACGAAGTAACCTTCTTATGGTCAAGGCCGACCACTGGGCCAAGACTCTAACGACGAAGTAACCTTCTTATGGTCAAGGCCAGGTACGTCTTGTGTGGGCATAGCGAATAGGCGCTGACACGTTCGTAGTCCCAAAAGCAGCAGCTCGACCCCAACAGCACCAACGTCCCCGACTACAGCCGAACGACAAAAAGCGATCCTCACCACAACCGCCCAAAAAGCACAGAGCGCAACGAAAACCCCCGATAGTACCGACTGGAAGGTTTTCGCGTCTACGGTACGCAGAAGTCGGCTGGCTAGGGTTATCTTCGGGCGCCCAGCGGCAAGCTGTGTATGGATGCCTCGATGGAAGCGGACAGCTGCGTTACTGGTCCTGCTCGGCACCGGACGACGGTGGCTCCATCAGACATAAAGAGATACTCTTTCGTCCGGAGTTCCAAGGCTTGAGTCAGGACGACATACGCAAGAAGTTGCCTGAGAAAACTCATAGGGCAGCGAGAAGGAACGTTCGAGACGAAAGCTGAGGTGCAGTCGTTCGCAAATCAATCAATCTTGCAACGCTTCCAGATCTCTCGCCAGCCAAAAATTCGGGGTTCATCTTCGCCAGGACAGCCGCACTCTTCAGCATATAGTGCGTCACAAGATGGAGCACCGTTACGATTGTCTCGGTCACAGCAGCGAGGGATACGTCTGCCTCACCATACGTCGCTCGTCTATTTTCTGCTCGGCTGGCAAGTCGGGTGACAGCATTGGCAAAACCACTGTATTTTGGCCCGTCTGCGCCCTAGTGTTACACGCGTCTTTGGCCTCGGCTTGCCGAGCCCTCTTTGGCAATCTCACCTGTCGCTAACATCGGTGAACCGGGCTGACAGAAAAAGACGGGGTTTCTCCGAAGCAGTGCTCACGGTGACGTCACGTCGGTAGTTGCTGTATTCAGTGGGGAAATTGAACTGGCTACATCCGCGGTGTGTTAGGAACTCGTTGCATAGCCTTCGAGTGGCGTCGGGGACAACGCGCTCGAGCTTCTGTGTCTACGTGAGAAATAGCTGCCAGCTGCGCACCTGCGAAGAGCTGGTGGCGAGGGTCGAGTGTACCGAAGCCTCTATGTTCATGCAGTCAGTTCGCACCAGCCGAGCGCGTGCCGTGTCGTTCACGACATACGTGCAAATTGGAGACCACGTGCCACGGGACAGTCAGCCAGACAATGACTACGTGATGCGCATCAGGGCATATATCCACAAGAGGAATTCAGCAACAAACATGCCCGACTCGCCCAGCTTCTTCCAGTCACTGGCACAGAGTGCACCTTGTCAGGGTTCATTCGAACGATGGAGCATGAAAGACCGGCCCGAGATATTGCATACCCGTTGGCCAGGAAGTTGCGACGGCAAATGGCATGCGCGTGCGATGTCACGACCAGATCATCCATCAGCCATATGGCCGTGCTGGGGCAAAATTGGTATCAGGTATCAAGAACTATGACTCATAGAGGATTCAAGAACCCACTATGCTAACACTCGACGCATCGGCGGAGGATTCGTTCAGATGGCCACTAGAGGTCATGGTGGAATTCTCCCATCATTTTACGTTGAGACATGGAGCACGCGACTGTCCGATTGAAAATCGGGCGCGGCTTCTGACATGGGCAATATCGTGCAGCTACACCTTCCGACGAAAGCTTGGTTAGGGATTCGCTGCGGGATCTGCTGCAGTAGGCCGTAATAGGCTTATCAGAACTCCTGCGTCAGCTAGCTACCATTGAATGCAGATCGTACGGTACAGTATACGATTATGTTGATGATCAGCGAGAACGCATCACCGACGGGCTACAGTATACGGGAGAGAGAAAAGGCATCGTCCTGGCTCTCTAACGAGATAATGTTAGACAACCCAGCCTGGTTGCCAAGCTGAAGAACAAGGAAGATACAGTAGCAGCACATG